AGGGAGAGAGGGACAGAGGGACAGAGAGGGACAGAGAGAGAGAGACAGGAGGGACACAGAGAGAGCATGAGACAGAGGGAAGGAGAGACGCGGAGAGGGACAGAGGGGGAGAGGGAGGGAGGGAGGGGACATGGAAGGAAAGAGCCCAGATGGAGGAGTGTGGGGAGCCGCAGCAGTGAACAGGACAGATCTCTGGGACCAGGCCCTCTTTGGCAGCCTGTCCCACCTGGTGCTGAGGAGAGGAGCAAACGAGGTCCCCTGATGGGATGGCCACGTGGGGAGGAGGTCCCGCAGCTGCAGGTCCAGGCCAGGGGACCTAACGGCCTGCAGCTCCCTGGCACTGGCCTCAGGCCACCCACATGCGGGACAAAGGCAAAACCCAACCTTCTCTACGGGGTGTGGCCCCGTTCTTGGGGACTGGGTGAGGGAGTTGGTGAGCAGGGTCCTGGGGACCCAGACGGGCCGTCCCTGCCGTCAGGGAGAGGAGAGGGTGAAGCTGGGCCGACTCCCACTTGGGAGGAGCTGCCGGTCACAGGTGGCCTCTGCTCCCTGTGGTCAAGGGCCCCAGGAGCGTCTCCAAGAGCCACTACTGCAGGGGCTGACAGCAGTGACCTGGCCTTGGTGGCCAAAGCAAGGGCCCCAAGACAGGGCGACCATACCTGTCCCATGGGAGGGAGGGGGCATGCACACACACACACACACACACACGCCTTGGTGCAGACGCTGTGCGTGTCCCCAGCACCTGTGAAGCCCAGGCCCTGCGCCCCTCCTCCACCTCGGGCCCCTCCACAGCTTCCCCCAGGGCGAGGCCAAGGCCGGCCTCTCCTCCTCCGGTCAGACCCTCGGGGCAGCCTCCTTTTTGTCTGGGCTTTCCGTGTTGAAGGTCCTTGGTACCAGGAAGCCCGGGGATAGAGTCCCTGGAGCCCTGACATGTCCCTAACAGTCACACCACGCCACGGGCAGGACAGCAGCCTCACCTGGTCTGCCGACCTCCTTCTCACTTTCCCCCACCTGCCCCCATTCCTGTCCTGCGTCCCCCTGGTCGCGTCCGCCCTCTGTGGAGAGGGCGCTGCAGGTCTCTCTCCTGGATAAAGTCGTCGTGGGGTGTGAAGACGCCATCCACCCGGGACAGGAGCTCAACTCTGCAGCTGCTTAGGAGGAGGAACCAGATTCTCTGAGCCCGTGGGGTCACCCCAGCACATGAGCCAAGGCTGGAAAGTCCAAGACAGTCCCCAGGCTGCCCTGACGGCCCTGCTAGAGCGCTTTCCACAGAAGAGAGGATGCCAACGATTTACAGAGTCCACAAATGAGACCGGATTCAGGGGCAGGTGGCAGCCAAGGGAGACACTCCCAACCCTCCCGTGCAGCCGCCTGGCAAGAGGAGTGCCAGCAGGTCTTGGTCTTCTGAGAACTCCGGAAGAATTCAGAGAGCAGCCCAGGGGACAGAGCAAGGCCAGCGCTGGCCCACGTAA